CCTCTTTTTGATTCTTCCTTTCTTCCTTTTTTTCATGATTTTATATTTTATTTTACTCTTTAAGTTTTTTTCTAATTAAGGGTTCTTGTCTCTCTTTTTAAGCCTGGGTTATTGGAGAATTTATTTTTTAAAAAATAATCTATGTGAGTTTTATTATTATTTTATATCATTTCAATTGAAAGATTAGAGTAAGATATATGATTGATAAATATTGTGCTATCTTAAAATGCTTTTTAATAACAGATTATCTCAACAATTACCTTTTTATTTTTTAGTTATGGTAAATTATATTAACTTGTGAGTTTATTATCAAATTAAAAACCAGATTCAATTATCAGATCAATATAACCATTAAACTACTCTATTATCAAATGCTTAATTAAGTGTTTTACATTTTTAAGTTTAGATTTTCTAATGTTTCTAGTACATTACATCATATGAATTAGCTTATAATCTTTGTGTTTTTCTATTATTGATGAATACATTTATTTTTACAATAAAAAAAGCAAATTAATTACTTTAATTCTATTAATATAAAAGGCTGAACTTACCAAAGAATTGGAACATGAATTGCCTAGAATGAATAATGCAAATTTGAATCAAACGAACAATTGTTTGTGATTAATTACATGTTTTATCTTCATTTATAGATCCTTGATTTAGTTTTTTTCATTGATCGCTCCTTAATTTTCATTGCCTGGGGTTTCATCATTTGCGCATTTTGAAGCTGCTGGGGAGGTATCTGAAAGATGAAATTTATGTTGTTAGAAACAGAACCAGCAAACTTCCACATTCTGAGAAAGATAAATATACATAATGAGTGCATTTTTCTTCTTAGTGGCACATTGTTAATTGGTAAAAATGCAAAATCAAAATTAAAGATGACCAACAAGCATGTTTAACAGTTAGATTTTTTTGCATGGGCCTCATCAAAACATGAGGTCCATCATTAAATTAATTAATAATAAATGAAATAGCACATATCATATTGAAGTCATATATTTCTTATTTTATATTTTAATATGGGATTTCTCACTTTAACTACGGAACACGTACTTCATAGGCCATCAACGGCACACAAGCCCACTGGGCTTGTTAGAGCAAAGCTTCATATGCCCCCATACAGAGACGATGGAGCCTAGAAGTAAAAAGGAAGAAGAAGAGGGGCTTGAAGAAAGGGGCCAAGCCTCAATTGAGACGCTCTACTACTATATTAAAATTAATTGTATAGATTTTAATACAAAATTTATATTTAATTTTAAATTAATTGACCATAAGTGAAGTAGCCCATATCACATTTAAACCACATGTTTCTTCTCATATTTTTCAGTGTGGGATAGTCGACCTCACTGCACCGTTGGCCCAACATTATCTCATCGTGAAGGTAAGTCAATATTTGCATTCGTCTTCCATTACAGCTTTCAGGTGCATGATGATTCTAATTATTTGTGTATCAATCAGTACAGTGTACGTAGT